AGACTCTTCATCCTACAACCATTTACAGTTGGAGCTCTCAAGAACATGCGCAATTACGAAGGTCAGACACCAGCTGGAGACCGCAAAACAGACGTACTCGCAAGAGCAGTCCAACTGGTCAAGACAAAGACTGAGATAGTCGACTTCATTCTTGCAGCTTGCCCATACAAGTAAAAAAATAAACAATTACGAGTTAAACTTTTTACTCTTTCTTTTCTGAGTTGTTTAGAGCTGGTTTCTCTTGTAGGAACCTTTCGTACTCTTCCATGGTCATGTAATTGCGAATTTGGTACGCAATTCCAGGTTCGTTGTTTTTGAACCTTACGTATGTAACGCTTCCATCCTCCTCGGGAAGTAAGCTGCTAACATCTGACCAAGTTTTCTCGGTGACTCGGAGCTCATAAAAATGTCACTTTTTAAACGTTAAGTTTTTAGTCTTATTTTACCCTTTGTTTACCCTTTGTTTGTCAAGGTAGTATTGGAGTGCAATTTCTCCAAATTCTCTGTGTCGGAGTTCTTCAGCATTTTCCAAGGTGTACCTGGAGAACTCAAAGAAGTTGTCAAGAAGATACTGCCATGCTGCTCTTCTGAGTTCGTCGGTATTTTGGAAGTGTTGCACCTTCGAGTCTTCGGACATGAAAAAAATGACACTTTTTCTATTAAACCGTTTTGGCATTTCTCATGAGTGAGTATAGTTCTGCCGAACCATTGGAAGAGAAGAAGTACCCTTGCTGGCAAAAGACAAAAATAGTTGCCTTAGTTGTCATTGCAATTGTACTCGTAATTGAATTCATTGTACTTCTCTTCACGTACATAAAACTCAAGGACGGCATATGCTTTAAGAAGCTACCATCTTACTAAGACTAAACACTTAGATTTTTCAAGCTTGACTTTTTACAATTTGAATTTTACACCCAAAAATATATTTTAGGGTAGAAGGTTAGATATAACCTGTTTTCTAACCTCTTTTCTACCCTCGTAGAAAACACACAAAACTCTTGAATTTTGTTGCTGAATTCAATAAAAATATATTTTAGGGTAGAAGGTTAGATATAACCTGTTTTCTAACCTCTTTTCTACCCTCTTGAATTTGTCATGAGTTTTCCCGAAATAAAAAATAAAGTTGGTTTTTTTAAAAAAAATATTTTTTTATTTTTATTGTAAGAACATGTTAGCAACAACAGCACCAAACTCGTTAGTCATGAACCCAACTTCAATGTTAGTAGAAATGAAAAGCTTCATTCCTTCTTCATATACTTTTGAGACAGAAATCCAGAAGATAAAGCAAGAACTTTTAACAAGTAATTTAGACTGTAGTGCGAAAGATGAAACAAATGAACAGTATCTTTATGAAATGCAGGATATTATTGACCATTTACCCAAATTGCCTGAAATCCAACAACAAAAACTCACTATTCCAGAATTCGATGAAATAGAAGTCAAAGCAACTGACTCAGTAGAAATAAAGAAGTTCATACGAAAGGTAAATTATGAATTCCTTGGATTTCATTGCAACCACAAAGTCATGGACAAAGATTGCGATATGGTATATAAGAACATCTCTGACATATACAAATCTGAAGAATTTAAGACCTACGACAACTTTGTTTCGTTAGTTGCAAAATGTGTTTGGGAAATAAGAGATAAAGATAAAAGAGGTAAAGTATGGAACGAACAGATAAAACCAGCAACTTTTGAGTTAAAGAAAACCATTGACGCCTTAGTTGTTCTAGCAGGTAAGGTTTCAGAATATAACGCAAAAATGAACCCGCAATGTTCAAAATGTAAAGCAGCAATGAGGAAATATAACTACTCCGTCAAAGAGATAGAAAGAATGAGAAACGACTATGCTGACTTAAAGAAAGAAGCAGAAAAGCCAGCAGAAAATAAAATGGACATGTTAGAATTTCTGAACAAAAACTATCCAACTGCTGACGATTTCCTTCTATCTGACGTCAAGAAGAAGTATAAAGAAACTTTCGGCATTGTTAAAACATTCGATATCCTTCGTGAAGAAATCGAAGCCACAAAATTGTTTAGAATTTCACGAATTCACAATGTTTACCATGTAAAACGCTTATAAAATAACTGGGGTAGAAATGAGGGTAGAAAACGGGGTAGATATACCCTTCTACCCTAAAATATATTTTTATTGAATTCTGAGTAAAATTCTGAGTAAAATATATTTTAGGGCTTGTGTCAAACCGTTGAGTTTTCACAAAATTTAAAAAATAACGTTTACCATGTGAAACGTTTATAAAATAACTGGGGTAGAAATGAGGGTAGAAAACGGGGTAGATATACCCTTCTACCCTAAAATATATTTTTGCTGAAAAAAATGACCAAATTTCATGAAATTTCTCTAGACCGACTTTTACAGGGGTAGCCAAAACTCATGAAAATCGTAAAAAATAAGAGAGTATTTTGACAACTTCAAACAAGTAGGGTAGATGCACTCTTTATTTTTCAAGCTTGACTTTTTACAATTTGAACTTTGTTCGCGTAGATGTGAATTCTGAAAGAAGTATGAGGGTCTTGTATGACTTTGTACTTCTCCCATAGTTCATGTCTGTCAAACTTACCTGCCATGGACTCTTTCATAAGTTCCATGAAATCGTCTTCGGACAATCCGGGGAAAAGTACAATGTCAGTAAGTATTCTCTTTACATCCTTACTTAAACTCTTTGCTGTCTGTACACAAATGACAACTGAGATGTTAAAGTGTCTGAGCTTCTTAAGAATTCGACACATGTCTTGTTCTCTGTTCTTTAACAAAGGATGAGAAGCAAAGTCATCTAAGATAAGAAGACATCTATGAGGGTATGTCTTCCAATCGTAAGATTGCAATTTCTTCGAAATGTATTCTATCTCTTTCTGTTTGTTTCTGAAGTGTTTCTTCTCTAATATTCTCTGCATTTCCTCATTTGGGTCTTTAAACTTCGAATTGACATACTCATTTATAGCATTGTACTTCAAAACTCTTCTTTGGTACTTCTTTATCCAATCCAACAACTCAGAGTCTTTTATACATACTAACTTAGACTTCTTTATAATATCTTTGAACGAATTGACGGTTTGGTCAAATTGACCAGAAGTACTACAAATGACTACTAACTCATAGAATGGGTTCTTCTCATCTAGTTCTTGTTGTTGTGCAGCCATTTTAAGATAAGTGAAAGTCTTACCCGACCCAGGCGGTGCAATTAGACCTGTTATACCATTCTGAGCAAATAAGAACTTGTCATGTATGGGTTTTATCTGAGCATTTTCTAACTTCCTCTTGTTCTTGTTTAAAACATTCTCAAATTTCTTGTCAATGTCAGCAAACTTTTTTTCTAACATATTTTTAGAAAAATTAAAAATTTTATCTTTTAGAAAATGTCTAGCGATTTCGCTATCTATATTCGAGACAAACTTTTCGACAGCAAAACATCTGTCGACCATAAAATCTTACATAGTGTAAACAAGAAAGGTGAATTTGTTCTAAAGTTCTGTTTCTGGGAATATGACAAGAACCATAAAACATTAAGCAGAGCAGTCTTAAAATTTGTCAATGACAGACTTGTTGACAGAGATGACGCCGATTGGAAAGATGAAGTCCAACAAAAGTTCTTAGAATGCAAAGAAGACACATGCGCTGTTCTTGAAGATGAAATAGAAACAGAATAGAAGAGCTATTAAAGGACAAAGAACTTTTACATAAATATGGTTGCGCCAAATTTGACATAACTCCACCAGAGAAGAAGAAGAAGAAGAGAGAAAAGAAAGAAAAGAAAGTAGAAGAAGAGAAAAAAGAACCTGAACCAGTTCCAGAGAAAAAGAAATTTGACATGTAAAAATAAAATTTTATTTTTAGAACATTTCTGGGTCAATGTCAATGTTCTCTTCCTCTTTAGGAGCAAACACTGGCTTAGACTCTAAAATCTTTTTACCCAATTTACCTTGAACTTCAACTATCTTAGACTCATAATATTCATAGTCGTCTGCTTTCTTTGGTTCATAAGGTATAACAAGTTTGTATGCTTTGCCTTCTTTAAGGTTTGAAAACCTTCTGTCAAAATTTTCTTTGACTGCTAACAAACCTTCTATGTCTAAGTCTTCAAATTTCGCACCATTTTTAGTCACAATAGCAAACTTAACTGGTTCGATGTTCCAAACTTTGTCAAATGTAGACTTTTCAAAATGGTAGAAGTAAACATTCAAATAAGCGAATGGGTCTAGTTCTTCTTTAAGTCCTGACATATATTTGTTGACTGAGATGAATTTCATCATCTTTTCTATCGGATAAAAAAATATTTTTTATAAAATTTACTCAGAAAAATTTTTCTTTGTATATACGCCGTTCTGAACATCTAAAAGACTTTTGACATTTGCCAAGAATGTACGTTTAGAAGCTGCCATATAACCATACTCTTGACAATATTGTTTATATGAATCGTACAATGACCTTTCATCTAAACACTCAAAGTTAGTCTCATCTATGAACAGTTCATATACACTCTTGTTTGCTTCTAACAATGTTTGTCTTTCTTCGGTATGTGGAATTTGTCTTGGATTGAACTTTGAAATATCTAATGTCATGAAATATGAGAACAAGTGGTTGTAAAAGTTAGGTGTCAAAGTTTCTGCTAAGTCGTCAAAATATTCTGTATCTTGCATATGAGAATCTGACGTTCTGACAACTACATATCTTCTGTCAGAACTTTCTAACTTCATCGGAACAACATTGTTTGAAACCATGACGAAGTTTGCAACATTTTCACAAACTCTTTGGTCTCTATACTTTCTTTCAACAACTCCAACTTTGTCTGTTATAAGACTCTTCAAAGCATCTGAGTTTAAAACCTTTGTTGTATCTATACTTTGAAGTTCGTTACATACTATAAGTTTCATATTCTCTATTGAAGAGTTAAATTTACCGCAGATGTTTTCTAAGTTTGTCATATTCGGGTTCGAATAGCCCTCTAACAGTTTGCATAAGATATCTGTAAAGAAAGTGTTCTTACCTGTTCCTTGTTTTCCAATTATAATGAGAGCAGTTTCATTTTTAGCACTTGGATGTTGTAAGATGTTTGCAAACCAACATAAGATATACTCATAGACTCTTTCGTTTCCATTGCATATAATTTCTTTGACATGGTCTAACCAAGCTTCTATAACATTTTCTTTCCATTCTACTTGTTCGTATTTATATCCAGTGAAGATAGAATAGAAGTTTGGAGATGGTGTATAGAACTTTATACCACGAACTGAAAAATCTTCTAACTTTGACAATAAGATATCCCAAGCATCTAACATCTTCATACCAACTTGTACGACTTTTATTTTCTTAAGTTTCTGTCTACATTCTTGTTCTGAAACTATTGTTGCTCTTGGTTTGTTAAAGACAACATCCCATTCTTTCATGACATAACATTCTGGGGCAGAGTCAACATAAATGACTAAACGTTTCAAATTCTCGACTGCTTTGTTATAGTCTCTAAATGGACACATATTTCTGAACGCTTGGAAGTCATAAAAATCTGAAACGTCTATTCTGTACATTTTTATAAAAATAAAAAAAAATATTTTTTTATTCTTGACTTTGTTGTTCTTGAGCTATTTGTTGCATTTGTTCCATTTGTTGCATTTGTTGTTCTTGAGCTATTTGTTGTTGAAGTTGTTCTTGTAGTACAATACTTTCACCAGTTGCATCTTCCAATTCGAAACTTTCTGCCGTCATTGACAAATACATAGGACATAAAAGTTTTACAGGAACAAAGTTTGCGTCAACTAAGGTTAAGTTTATGTTTGCTAAAGTGTTTGAGTTTACTAAAGCTGAAAACTCTGCATTCGAATGAACAATAGGCAAACCAGCAGAGAAAGTGTTGTTTATACGCATGAGTATCTTTTGGTCATAGTAGTTTCTGTCGACATTCGAATAGCACTTTGAACCTAAGTTTGAAACAATATATAAAATAGGTGTACTTAAAGTCAATGGAACAGACAAACCTTGTATGACACCTTTTCCTGTTATAGGAAACTGTTGGTAGTAAAAACCAGATATAAGTTTTGTATTATAGCTCATATCGTTTATACTAAACTCAGTCGGACATCCAAACATAATGAAACCTGCTCTAGTTGCAGCACATGTTACATCCGTCCTTAAAGTATTAAATAAGTCAACAAAACCTGTTGGTGGTATATCTGAGTAAGTATCTTCAAAGAAGTATTTTTTACCATTCACAACAACAAAGTCTTCTGGTGTCAAAAGAGCAAAACAGGCTTTAGTCGTCATCGTGTTTAAGGTCAGTTTACAATATCGTCCTTGAGGACTTTGTAAGTTTGTTGTTATAGAATTATATGACTCAGGGTTTTTAGTCGTAATAGTATAAACCACTATGTCTTCTGCCATTTTACTTAGCAAGTAAATTTTAATGAAATGTTGTGGTCGTCAAATATTTTTATGACGTCTGGGAAACTATATTTTAAGTTCAACGTTTCACCTCCTTTCATAACGTATATCTTGTCAATGACATTATATGAAACACCACAGCAAGCAATGTCGGGTTCTATTTCTTTGATGTTTATATCGTCTGCCTCTGTCAAAAGTTTCAATAGTTCTTTCAAAATTTCATGAGGTGCGAATGACATATGAGTTCACTTTTACAGGGTTGTGTTCGACCAAGTTTAACATTATACCTAAAGCTTGACAAATCTTCTCCTGAGTTTTAAGTTTGTCTTTAAGTTGTTGGTAGTCGTTTCGAATATCTGCAACAGAACTTAAGTCTCTGCTAACTTCAGGATATGTTGGTTGTTCTTTTACAGGAACTATTGTTATACCATCTTCGTCTTCGTATGGTTTCCCCACTTCAACATCTCTTTCTTTGACATTGACAACAACACTTTGACTGTTTGTTTGAGTTGGTGAATTTAACTTCACATCTGCCACCGCCATTAAACCTTTTGAAACACTTACGCTTCTATTTTTCGGAAATGACATTTTACTTAGAATAAAAAGATGGACGTATTTGAGTATCTCTTCGAATTGAAGCAAAACAAAGTTTACACACACAAACAATACAAATACATTGACAGAATAGTTCTTTACAAAACAATGGAAATGTTATAGAATAGCAGTCTTTGCTGAACCAAAATATTTTCATAAAGCAAAGAAAGTTGGTATAACTGAAATGGTGAAAGTTCTTGAAGCAGACAAAAATATAACAAAAAACTGACCGATATTTCTAAAGGAAAGTTTATAATACAATATTATGTCAAAACTGGCGTACTGTCAATATTTGACGGAGAGAAGTCAGTTCAAGAACAACTTACTGACCTGCTGCCAAAATCTGCTCGATGGAAGCTGTCGTTATGCCAATCTGAGGAGCCCCAGCAGGTTTCATCGAACGAATCTTCAAAAGAGCATCTTCCGTGAAAAGTGCTATTGGTTTTGTAAACTTCTTTGCTTTCATTCATCTGGACCGTCTCTGTCACCAGTATATTGTATTTGAACTGTACCAACAGTTGAAATACCACCCATAAAGTCTTCTGAGTCAGCAAATGGAATGCCAAGCCAAAAGTTTGAACGGTCTCCATTTGTATATTGAGTTTTTTGACCTCCTGTATGAGTCCATACTTTCACATATGGCATAATAGAACTTTGCATTTCAGGGTTAATGGTTGTTGTGAAGTTGTTGTTAAAGTTCATAGCATCTAATGTCAAGTTGTATGACCTCATATCCTCAACTGTAGAATATTCTTCTCTTGGA